AGATAGATAGATAGATAGATAGATAGATAGATAGATAGATAGATAGATAGATAGATAGATGTTTAAAATTAGGGTTAGACATTTAGTAGAAAATTTAGTAGGTCACAAATATCCAGAAGAGGAAGAACCTTCCACTTTTCCATTTTGTTCTCACCAACACTTCTTCCCGGTTTTTATTAGTGACGGGATACATTTAATAACTCCCAAACCTTACTCTTTGTCCTCCCATCTGAAATGTAATCAAATCCCACGTGTTGTCCTTGCTCTCTTACATCCCTTCACTAAACACGCTCAGACGAATATTATAACCCTTCCTGACCCTAACAAAATGTGAGCAACCTCTTAATGACCGCGTCATGGACACCACCTCTCTGAGAATTGTCTGTGCTGTTGAATGCAGTGTCATCTGCTGCTATTTTTCAAGTTCACAAATAGCCTAGGACTGACCAGAACCTGTCAGTCTTTATGTGGTTACTAAGAATCATGTTGATAACTTACTACTTGTGGTCAAATTGTTCTTTTCTTGGAAACCAACTAAAGAGCTATAAAAAACTTGCTCAGTGTGGGGATGTAAACTCAGTACCTGAAAGTCTGACTTCAGAATATTCAATCTCACATCATGTTTTGCAGAGCATAATGAGGTAGTGAGCTTCAAGACAGCCTTCAATGAAGGCGTTAGAGATTAGTGTAGAGGTCTGAATGTTAGCTGTCACATAGCTGAGAGATGGTCCTAAGCAAGAGCCTTTATTCTTTCCTCTCATGGTCTCTGGCAAATAGAGTAGAAGTTTCAGAATCTAGGAAGATGTCCCACTCCAGGGAAGACTGGCATATGCCTCGTGCAGGGGCCTGAAGAGCTGCGCTATGGGGATGTGTTAAGTCAAAAGGCCATGCAAAGCTGTGAGACTTCTGCTGCAACGGTCATAGAGCACTCATAGTTACAGGTTTTCCAGCATGGAGTCTGCCTTTATTGGGATGTGGTGAGACACTTAACAAGGATCTTAGACACTAGCGCTTGGGATCCCACCGTAGCCCTGGGAGAGTCTGGGGTGTTTCAGAGGAGACCCCTTGCTCAGCCCTAGGCTTCCTCATCTACATTTTTTTTGGGGGGGGGGCAGAGGGTGGTTCATGAGAAACCAAAGGTCAAAGACAAGAATGTGAGGCCTTTAAAACATCCATTTCCACTGCATACATTAACCCTAATGATTGTATAACATCTAGCAACTTATATGTGTGCATATGTGTTTGCGCGTGCATGTGAAATGTATGACATTACAGAGCAATGGAATTCTTGTCTGGAGGGCATTTCTGTCAGTAAAGGTGACTGTTTAAAATCAGGGCGTCATATCAGGAGACATTAAAGTGATTCCCTTGTAGATAGAAGTGTTTTGACACAGTACGGATATAGCCATGGCAGGAAACCTAGAAAAACCAACAAATGACAGATTTGTTCCATGCCTCTTAGTCTCAAAGCACTAAGACTCTACAATAAAAATGCAAGTCACAGCTCCATGTGAGAATTAACCACACCAACTCTTCCTCCAAAGAGAATGAATAGGGAGGAGGTAGTATGATGCATAGGAAGAAAAACACGTAGGCCTACAGTCTATGTACAGGCAGTTCAAAATAGTTCCATTAATGGGGCTACCTTAGTGCAGTTTAATACAGAAAGCTCACGACTGTTGCTGACAGTCACTTTCTTAGTATCATTGTGTCATTGATGACAAAAGAAAGAAAATATTTTAAAGCAATCTTCTACACAAAGTCAGTTTCAGTAATGGTGTTCACATTTTTATTCATCTTTATATGTATATCACCAGGTAAAATACTAAATAAATGTTTGCTCAGTGATGTTCTAGTTCCCTTAATCACAATACAGACATTAGTTGTTTTCCATTATTCTTCAGGTCAAATGAGTAAAATCTGCCTTATTAGTACCTACTGTAAAAGGTTTGCTTGAACCTATTTTTCTTTTTTATGGGTCTACTCTCAGAAAAACCACTACCCAGGGATGATTAAAATTTGTTTACCATTGGGTTATATAGATTTAGCATAGCTGAGAACTTATTAATTTTCATTTGCATTTCAGTATTTTTCCAACATAGATTGACTGCAAAACAGCTTTAAATATAATCAAGTTTGTTATAATCCATATATTAAACTATAACCAATATAAAACAGTTCAAAACACATAACAGGAAATACACGGGCTCTATTTATGGATTTATAACGTGTGAAAGGGAGGAAGCCTAGACTCAGATAACTTTGTATCATAGAAACCATTTCCAGAAGTAGATAAAGAAGGGCCTTACCTCTGGGTGAGCGGTGGGAGGCAAAACTGAAGCCTCATTTTCAGTAACATTTCCAGCGGGTCCATTGTTTGGTGAGCTGGGACCTGACCCTGGAGAGCTACTGCTGACTGAGGATTCTGGAAAACATGATGAAATACACATGCATTCATGAGCAACATACGAAGATGGACTCAACTGGCTGCATTATGTAGCACCAGGTATGAAGTCATTGATGAGGAAAAGAAATACAGGAAGGCATAGTCTTTTACTTGCTCTCATGGTATCATAAAAGTATACAGTGACAGAGATAGTAAATTTGTGTATGGGTACAAACAAGCTGTCAACACAAGAGAGTCTCAGGGAAACTGGTCTTAATGCTGAGCTATACACTGCTTTTTAAGAGTATATCTTATTTTAGTAAATGTCAGTCAAATTGTTTGAAAAAAATAAAATAAAAACCTCCACCATTGCATTTATGGCTTTGCAAAGTGCCAGTTGACTTTAATTCTACCACACTGAATTTCTAGGTGATGAAAAACTGTCAAATTTAGTAGTGTAAATATTTAAATATCAATTAACAAGAAATTCCTTGAGGCAAAAGTTTGAAATCAACATAAACTATTTGCTAATCTTCAGATACAAAATTCATATGGACTTCACCATGTAAAGAAAGTAATATATTTAATAAAACATCTAATTAAAAATTTGAAAACTCCAGTTCCTAGAAATATATTTGCAGAAGTCACTGCATTGAATATTGGAAACTTATCCATTGGTTAGGCCTTCCCACCCTCCGCAGTCACTCTGAGTGCTTTCTAAGTATGTCATCTACCCCACATTAACCGTGCTGCTTGGTGGCACGGCCTCACACTCTTCAGAGACCCAGGAATGTACCTCACTCCCACCTGCGCATTTTCTTTCTATGCCATGACTATGCTACCTGCATTCTTCTTAAACTTTTCAAAGCCACAGAATGTCATTCCTTTCCTCTTTCTAGTGGCAGCACATATATTCTCACCCATAATCCTACCCTATGCCATATACTGCTTCCAGATTTGAGTCCATCAGTTCCTCAAAACCCTTATGCCCTCCTAGCCCTCCTAGTTTGAGATTTACCCCTCATCTGGTATTACCTTCTCATCTGAGATTAGCCCCTCATCTGGGATTGCCCTGTTCATCTAGGATTGCTTTCCTCATTTGGGATTTCCCCCCTCATCTGGGATTTCCCCCCTTATCTTGCCCCTCTCTTTTGGGGTTGTCCCTCTCTTTTTGGGATTGCCCCCCTCATCTGGGATTTTCCCGTTCATCTGATAGGATGTAGTAATCCTTGAGTAGTCCTATAGGCCATCCCATTCCTGCATGTCATGGTTTACTTCTTGTCAACTGAAACTTATCCTTCAAACACCACTAAATGTTAATGCTTGTGACAACACCCTCCCAGGCTCCTAACCCTTCTTCTGTCTTCATGACTCCCTCTCTTTCTTCCATCAACCCCTGAATACAGACATACACCTAAGTCGGAGGCTCTATCTCCTCTTGCTCTTTGCTTTGATGTTAAGTGTTATCTTCAGGCACACTACTTTCACATACGCAGTGTTTCTTGCCTTTAACTCTCAAAAATTTTAGTCTGACTTCCTTTGGAAAGTTGGAACTTTTAGAGATTTATTTTACTTTTACTTAGTTGTGTGCAGCATGTTTCTGTGTGTGTCTATGTTTGTGTAAGTCCTTGGAGAAGCTATAAGAGGAGCTCAGGTCCCCTGAAGCTGCAGTTACAGTTACTCCAAATAGTTGTGAGAAACTAAACTCAGGGCCTGTAGAAGAGCAGCAAGCCTGCTTTAACCCCTGAGCCATCTCTCCAAGCCAGAGGGTGGGTACGTTTAAGCCCCACACACATGCGCATAGAACACACCACATTGTAAAATGAATTGTTTCCTTAGAGTCACCCTCACTCTTCTTTCCACCCTAGCCACTGGCCCTTTCATTTCCTTTTTTAACTTATTTCATAGATTCCTGACTGTCTCCATTCCAGTTTCATTTTTTGTTTTCTTCTCTTAAACTACGGTATAAATGCTTGCTTTTTTGGAGTCACTAGAATACAATTTCTTTAAAGTTCTTCACAGGAGAACCCCACAGAGAGTTTTCACTCTATTCCTACACTTGTCCTTTCTGCTCTCAACCAAGTGAAGTCACTCATTGTCTGTACAAACCCACACATCACACTTCTTCACACTCCATTTTTTTTCTCCTCACCCCACTGACCCCACCTGGAAGTTTAGCTGGGCTCATACACCATCTGACCCCATGGATCTGGAGCTCTCCTTGCCACACAGCATTTCCTTGACATCCACCAAAACAACTTTTCACTTTCAGCTTTTCATTCTAAGTATTGCTTTACTTTGAAGTACAGTGCAATTAGAAGAATGAGGAGTTGGTGAATGAATTGTGGTCCTGAGACTTGCTTATTATGGCTTTTGAACAAATTATTGGTAGTATAAAATGCTCTTCACCTTATGCTCACTGCCTTTCTATCCATATATTTTGGTCTCATTTTTTATTAATATGGTCATTCTCAACATTGCCTCTTACAGTGATTCTTGTTTCTTTTTGTATATTTTTCTTTCCTTTAAACAGGGCCACATCATCCATCCCAAGCTGACCCAAACTCATGACCCTCCTTCCCCGTCTCTGCCTGCATTATAGGCTTGCACTACCACAGGCACACAACTTACTTCTTTTTTAAATGCACTTAAAAAATCTTACAGGTGCTGCTTTCCCTGAATCTTATAGTGGGTGCCAGAATGGCTGTGACTTTTCACTAATATTTCATTTCTGTATGTAAAAACCACTATCTTTTATTTTTATTATTATTATTATTATTATTATTATTATTATTGTTATTATTATTTACAACATTTTATTCACTTTGTATCCCGGCTGTGGTCCCTCACTTGTCTCCTCCCAATCCCACCCTCCCTCCCTCTTCTTACCCTAAACCCCTCCCCCAGTCCACTGATAGCAGAGGTCCTCCTCCTATTCTATCTGATCCTACCCTATCATGTCTCATCAGGACTGGCTGCATTGTGTTCCTCTGTGGCCTGGCAAGGCTGCATCCCCCAGGAGGAGGTGATCAGAGAGCCAGCCACTGAGTTCATGCCAGGGACATCCCCATGCTCCCCTTACTAAGGAACTTCACTTAGAGACTGAGTCTATGGGCTACATATGAGCTGGGGTTTTAGGTCCTCTCCATGCATTGTCCTTGGTTGGGTTATCAGTCTCTGCAGGGTTTGTCTTTTCATTTTAAGTTATCTTACTTATTTTATATGATATTCAAAAGAAAGTGTTTTGGTGTGTAGAGACCGCTATGATTTCAGCACAGCCCCTGCTGTACCAGGGTCCTACACCACAAACCGGTTGGGACCTGAGAGAAAGTAGTAAGTGCTATTGTGGATAAACTGGGGGAACCCAAGAGAAGAAATGGGTTTGGATTTGAAGAATAATTAATATTTGGTGAAAGCTGAGCAAATAGAGAAGGGAAGGGTTCACAGCAGGCATGGAGTCGAGTCCATGTATAAAAGACAACTTTTTGGAGGAAGAGAGGAAGAAAATACTAAATTTGAAAATGTGTGAAATGACAATTTGTTTTTACAGATTGACTATGAAGAGGAAAAAAGGGGAAAAAAAGCAGAAATTTCTACCTGTAAAGGGGAGAGAGAAAAAGGCAGGGAAGAAACCAGCAGAAATGATTGTACTAGCCTCCAACTGAACTTCTAAAACATTTGCTGTCAAAATGCAGAGTTCATTCAAACTGGATGGCAGTCCATCGAGAAACAGGAAGGGGACCAGGTGAAGACACCTGAGTCCTGACATTCAGATCCTCCAAATAATTTAGGCTCAGTGGAAAAGCCTAGTTTAAAATAAGCAGTAACAAAAAAATGCTTATGAAAATATCTGTCGTGGCAGCCCACAGGCAGGAACTGTGTACAAGTAGCAACTACAGAAGGCATGAGATGAAAAGGAATGGACTTTTATCCTATCAAATTAAGAAAGAATACCTGGGTTAATTTTTAAACTTTGGATTCAATTACTATAAACTTGTGATTATGTCAATAATGAAAATAAATATTGGTCATTTTTTCAAAATTTTTCATCCCCCAAGGAAAAGGTTTTCAAAATCTGATCACTAATACTTTCCCCCCCCCCCCCCCAAATAATACAAATCCACTGTGATTAGAGAGGAGACTGGGGTCTTTTTTTTTTTTTTAATTACAAACTGAAATCCTCTGTCAAAAATTTAAGCTGCCCTACTGTTTGTACCTGAGTCATTTCACCTCTTTCAGACTCCTCTCTTGACTTTCCTTTCTAAACTTGTTCTGCCTAAAGGAGAGACAGGAAAGCCTTTATTTTAAAGACATATGAAGGGTGAGTTCTGCTCTGGGTGAGCTACCACCAGCTGTATGTGTTAGAATAGTCATACTTCTTCCAGAAAGAGAACGCAGACTCAGACTGCAACCTCTCTCTCCAGGCACAAGGCATTGCTCTAAGCACCTAGGAGACAGCAATCAGTATTTCTGCGTAGCCCTTCAGGCTCCTGTGTCCTCAGGAAACAGTCAGTCGTCAGCATATTGTGGCCAGCCCTTTAGGTTCTTGTATTCTTAGGTACTTCTCTAATTTCAGAACAGGTACAAATGGGACAAGGGGGGTTGTAAGACATCAGGTTTAATTTCCTAACATGTTCACCCCACAACTAACCAGGCAGCTAAAAAAAATATGAACTCTTCCATTTGAGACTAGTGAAAATGACAGTCTTTTCCCCTTCATAAAAAAGCAGTATTTTTCCCCTCCTGCCACGAGTCCCAGGTCACTAGTAAACACATAAAGTCATTTATGAGTTCTGTAAATTTGTTGAAAAGCCAAGGTTTCGCTGTTCCATATAGTTTAATTTTCCCAGATGTATTTCCTACGTTCACGTCTGAGTTGGGGTGGTGGGGTGTGGGGGGGAGGGGGAGGGACGTGCTTTTCTTGAACCTCACTCTGCTCATTTCTGATCAGATTTCATTAAAAGTTATAGTCTATTGGTTGGCATTTCCCAAATGGTCTGTCTGTTTCTAAAAAGAATAGGGCAAGCTTTGGTACTGCTTGCTGCGCCTTGATTGACACACAGCTGTTTTTTTCCCCCTTTCATTTCCTGCACAACACAGCTGGTGCATACACAGCAAGGTCGGCTGAACTGTTTGTGTATTTTCAAATAAGCTGCCTTTCAAGAAATAGCTCTCAAAATAAGTTTTAATAACAAGCAGGCATATTTATTATAAACTTAAAAAATAAGAATTCTATGACCAGCATGTGTTAGTGTGTGACTACCCAGTCCTCAATTACCTGCCACCTCAAACACTCGCTTCTTGAATGAAGTGACAACATTTCCATCCTTCCGCCTGAGTAAGGGGCTGCTTCTCCTCTCTGCCACTTTCTGTTTTAACCTGGACCGCACCTTCAAGTTGGGCTCTGAGGCTGGGAATTGAGACAAAGAAAATAGATAGAAATTAAAAATAAAGAGCCAATTGCTCCTGTATTGTAACTTAAAAAAAAAATAAGAAGAAGAATAAAGCCCATCTTCTCCTGGTCCAATCTTCTCAAATTGAAAACCCAATCATATAAATAAGGTGTTAACCCTAAATTAACCAAGCAGACAAATGTAGTAATCGTTTTATAAAATAAGTTGTCATCATTCTCTTAATAGGAATGTGAAATGGAAACAAAAATAACTTTTCTACTTAACTTTTATCTAGCACAGTCGTAATTGTTAATGGGAGGTTTAATCACTAATTACGGGTAAAGTAAGCCCGAGTAAGATTTATTATACTTCATCGGCTGGCCTCCTAATTCTCTCAAGACTGAAATTCAATTATCCCTAAAACAGTGACTTAACGTGAGGCTGGAGACTCTGCCCCGACTCCCAGCAATACGAAGACACCTCTGCAGAGCATAATTTATGTCTAATTCTGGCTCGTGAAATATTTCTTGGTCGGCATTTTCTAAACTAAAAGTCTGGGAAAGTGCAATAACACAACATGAACCAGTGTCACTGCGAGACACTCTTCCCATGTCTTCAGTCTCCGGTCATGAAAAAGGCGTCTGACCAAGCTAGGATTGAAAGTCTGGGGTTAGGATGTACGTTTGAGAATGCAAGCTCACATTACCCATTTGTTAAAGGAATGGAAGCACTGAGTTCCATCTTGGTACCAGAAGCCAATTACCTATGATGACGGTGGTGGTGGTAGTGTGGACCTGAGACTGTTTCTGACAACTTAACATTGTATCATGTTTTCTATGTTGCAATACTTTCGTAAGTATTTTATCAACACTAACTTTCTTACACATAAAACATGCAAATGGCATAGACTCTAACTCTAATGGCGTAGAATTGGTGGGGGAGTCCAACTACAGAGGGCAGAGAACTTGTCCAAGCTTACAGAGGAAGTGGATGAAGCCAGGTCTGTGTGCAAGCACCCGACCTCTCCTGAACACGCTAAATGCTCCTCTTCTCCTTAGAGCCAGAAATGAGAAGATAGCTTTTGTACACAACATTGCTGGAGTTTCTGCTCTGTGAAGTCTTTACCTTAAAAGAATAGTAGCAGTAGTGCTCAGAGGACACACCCCACTCTAAGATATCAATGTCCGCACTTCTTCACACTCTCGTTCACTTCCTTGCAGCTATCAACTTAAACTGAGAAGTACTGCATCTCTCGAATAGAAAAATAAAGCAGGCTCTTTCATTTTTTTATGGTGCACTTAATACCATGCCTGAAAATGCTGACGCCATAGGAATGAAGGACTGTGAGTTCCCAATCTTTACTATGCTGGTACCCTCTCTGTTTTGTCTATGACCTGCTCAGAGAAACAAAACAAAGCAAACCAAACCAAAACAAACAAACAAAACTGAGGCTTTTTTTCAGACTGAGATCTTTTCAAAACTTTCGATGAAACCTAATGGACTAGACATTAAAAATTGTGGCCCAGAGGGAACCCAACCACTGACTTGTCACTTCATGTGGCGGTGGCTGGGCGACAGAGGATGCTTATTGGCAGTCTCAGAATACGTCCTGCCTTCTCTTCCTCCCTGAGCATCAGGGATCCGCGGCTTAGGTCCTTCACCTTCAGCCATATAAATAGCTTCTCAGCAACTACAATAAGTTCCATGGGCGTTCTCTCTTTTCCCATCCATCCATCCATCACATTGCTGGATTCGAAGACTCGACTCTAATTACTATCTTTATAAGGTGCAGTTAATAGAGAATTGAGTGGAATAATGCCCCGTGTAGAAGAAGGCATTGGTCAGCTCTAAACCGGAGACAAGATGCCCTCCAGCGACATTTGGCAATGCTTGGTCATCAGTGCGGGAAGATGATACCAACACTAGCAAAAGCCATGGGCACCGGCAGTCGTCCCACAAGCATACTGCTCCCTCAATGGCAAGGAGTTAACTAGGCCCAAAGGTCAGTAGTGTAAGAAACCCCAAGAAGGGCAATCAATAAGTGGTAGCTGTCCGTAGCTATACAAGTGTGGGATGTGTAAAGGGACAAGTACAGTGGGAATGGTCAAAATGAATGTGGAAAAGTTCTACAAGACAGGAAAGGTTATTAAAAGCTAAGGAGTACATTAGGTAGCCTTAAAAATTAATTTATCTTTGGAAATTATTTCTTAAATGTTCTTATGCTACCAATATTCATTTCTAAGTTGTTTTTTTTTTATTGACAGGATATAAGTATATATATTTAGAGAGTAGAATATGATGATTTTTGAACCTTTATTTACCAATTGTGTATTTATTCAGAAAGATTCAGTCATCTCTCATCTCATCACACAGTTTCTCTGGGATGAGAGCATTCAGAATTCTCTCTGTCAGCTATTTTGAATTATAAGATACAACACTGTTTATTATAATCACACTTTATGTAGCAGAACACCAATAAATATCTCTGCTACCATGCTGTGACTTTGCACCCATTTTCCCATCCTCTTCTGTCTTTTCTACTAGGTCGATGCTTCAGAATTCACACAAGAGTAATTGTGTAAATACCACTGATATATATATAATATATATATATTATATATGATATGATATATTATATATAATATATTAATATATATAATATGTATATTATATGGTTATATATATATATATATATATATATATATATATATATATATATATGAAGTAAGCCTAGCCAACTTCTATTGGTTGGGGGAGATGTACAGAAGAACATAATTGTCAAGTTTTAAAAGAAGATAGATAGATAGATAGATAGATAGATAGATAGATAGATAGATATAGATATAGATAGTTTTGTAAATCTAGAAAAGACCTGACTTTCCAAAACCCAGAAATCATGGATACATTAGAAACTGCAACATACATATATATTTGAAAACTCTGCAATACAAATGTGATTCTGGCGAAAGCTTCTGTCTGGACTTCAGTAACTTTTAGTCAGCAGAGACTTAAATGTCAGTGGTAAGGATGAGAGGGTAATGACAGACAGCCACCTCACGTAAGTCTTTGCAGAACTCTACACACTTAGTCTGAAGATTTCACAGGCCCTCACAGCACTGCCCAGGATGATTCAAACAACTGGGCAAGAGGATTAATGAGCAACTATTTTGTCTTAGAGTTCCTTTCACTTTCCAAACTCTAATCTCCCCTGGAGATCTCCCTGCTACTCCCTTACTAATCCTCAGAAGTCAGAAGGAGATGGCTAATGCTGGAGAAGAGCTGCTTCTATATGAATGCACTTCATGGCTACTTGTACTAATCACCTTGTCATCTCTAACCCACAGCTATCCTCTACATTTGAATGAATCAATATCAACAGAAGGACTGATTTTTAGCGTGTGTGCCATCTGAACGTGTCCACCTGCTCATATGAAACCTTACATCAAAAATTTTGCACAAGGTCCAGGGTTGGAAAGAAAAGACCATAAGCAGAATGGACCCTGGGGCTTTTTTAAAATTCTCATTTCAAAGAAAAGCAAAAGGCAGCACACACATCTGAATAATGTTTCATGAATGAAAGGTTTTTAAAATCTTTATTCTCCTACTCATCTCGATGGTGCAGAATGTAATTAGGGAGGATGTGAATGAGAATCAAATCAGGAGATCAGTGCTAAGCTGAGTGCTAGAAGTATAGTTTAACGAGTAAGAAACCCCAGGCAAAGCTACATGGCCCGGGCTGGGAAACACTGGGAAACTGGTGTGTGACAGGTTGTTTAAAAATGAGCCAGGGAAAATCAGGATTTGCATGTGTACATATGCATACAGACCCATATGGGATCTGTGAAGTGTGCAGGCCTCTGAAACAGGCAGACCAGAATCAAACTAATGCTAGCACTTACATGTGCTAAATACAATCACGCGAGAGTAGATCTGACAGAAATATTTAATAATGTATGAAAGAACAGTAACATTACTGTTCATTGCACAATGGGGCAAAAGACTGAGAGGTAGTTCTCTCTGAATGTCCCATGTGGCCCATATAAGGGTAAGGAAACTATACTAAAATAAAACAACCAGCTCAGTGTGGTGGCACACACCTGTAATCCCAGCACTCTGGAAGGCAGAGGCAGGCAGATCTCTGTAAGTTCGAGGCCAGTCTGGTCTACAAAGCAAGTCCAGGAAAACCAAGGCTACACAGAGAAACCCTGTCTCAAAAAGTAAGTAAGTAAAGAAATAAAGCAACAACAAAAACTCCACACAACCGATACAATAAAAACATAAGAAGAGGGATGCAGGCCCACCACTGGTAGACTCAGGATCTCAGTGCAACATTGCCTATCCTAACAATAAAAGCAACAGTTATTTTCTAGACTTTCATCATCAATATGTTTTTATTAGTAACTGACCACATTTTTCCTTTGTTTTTTTGCAAAGTCTAAATTATACTCATTGTTTTTTCTGAAATGTATCACTATCAGTTGAAAATGGGTACCTACTGTGTACATTTTGTCTTAGGTTTAAAAAGTTAAACTCTTATTTTGTGTGTATAGGCATTTTGCCTGCATGTTTACCTGTGCACCACCATGAATCCCTCACGGGGAGGTCAGAAGAGGAAACCAGACCCTTGGAACTAGAGTTTTTGATGATTGTGTTCAACCATGTAGAAACTGGGAGTCGAATCAGGGTCATCTGGAAGAGCAGCCAGCACTCTTACCTGGTGAACCAGCTCCCAGCCCCACAGTTAATGTTTAATCCTTGGTTATAAATGTTCTTTACACTAACAATTTTGTCATAAATGTTCAATATCACACATCATGGAATGTAGAAAATATTCATTATGAATTATCACAAGAAAAAGGGGGTTACTGGGGCAAAAAAAACATCATTTATGCAAATAATAACTTAAATAAATAATTTCAGAATATTGATTGGGATGATTATTAATCAAGAATTAAGCACTAGATTACTAAGTATTTCATTATACTAACAAGTCTTGGATTGGGCATTTTAAGGAGTT